TGTGTGTGTGTGTGTGTGTGTGTGTGTGTGTGTGTGAGAGAGAGTGTGTGTGTTTTATACAGTGCAGCAAACCGGGTTTCACAAAAAAACTTGAGCTGTGAGAGAGAAAACATTTTCCTTATCTCAGGTCAACTATAAGTTCAAAAGGTCAACCACAAGGTAAAATGGTGAATTTAATGTAAACCAAAACAAAAAAAGGGCACACAGCTTTAAAAACAACAAAGAACAGAGTTTTGATAGTTCTGGGAAAACAACAGGWTTTTTCACAGAATGGTTCTACAATGTAACCAGAAAACCCAGCTCCTCTTTAAGCTGTCTCTGACCTCTGATGGAACCAGGAAGCACAACATGRGACTCAGCAGAGTTGACGTCAGACATCTCCCATTCTGAGTCCTGCTGTTGGCTGATCACGTCATTGAACTGCAATGTCAGCTTAAGTACCTTTCAAGGTCTGARTGTTTGGATTGTGTCTCTGTTTTGGGTATAAATCACCTAATTTATCACAATACCTTATTATAATGATTTGTTTGGTTGACTATACAGTGTTTCTTAATCTCACAAAGTCCATCATGATATATTTTTTTATTATATTAACTTCACAAGTCAGACATGCCTGAAGAACCTTCCTGGGGAGGCGTCTGGGAGGCATCCTGACCAGGTGACACCTCAGCTGGCTCCTCTGGATGTGGAGGAGCAGCAGCTCTCCCTGAAAACTGAACTTCTCCCCCTGTCTCTGCAGAGAAAACTCATTTTGACCACCTGTATCGGCAAGCTTGTTCTTTCAGTCACTACCCAAAGTCTGTGACTAGAGGATAAGAATGTGGACCAACTGGTAAACAGAGTTTTACCTTACAGCTCAGCTCCCTCTGATCCATCACAAACCTGTACAGAGCCTGCAATAAAGTTGAACTGATCCTTTTATCTTACGCTCCATTCTTCCCTCAATCATGAACAAAACCCCAAGATACTTGAACTCCTCCACTTGAGGCAGAACCTCACCCKAACCAGTTGAGAGCAATCCACCCTTTCCTAACTGAGGACCATTGACTCAGATTTGGAGGTGCTGACCCTCATCCCAGCCGCTTCACATCCGGCTGCAAACCACTCCAGTGACAGCTGAAGATCACYACAATGGACGCTTCTGTAACTGGCTTCACCATATGAACATATTGCAACGCGTTCACAGAACACTGGTTCATTCATGTAGTAAAGGTGCCTTTAGATGCCTAACTATGACTGTGAAAGCAAAACACTAAGAAATTAGGAATGGCTCAAAACTTTTGCACACTACTCTTTGTACCAGCCCGAAATAACATTCTAGTGTAATTGATCCTGTTGTTCGGAGACAAACTCATTCWCTACTGATAGCTTTAGCAGCACCTGTGTGCACTTTTAGGTCTTTTCCAGAGAACTAACCTGAGCTCTGCCTTCGTGCATGACAGCTGCTTTCAGATAAACTCAGATCAAATCCCATTCCACCACAGACACAGAAACACATCTTTAAGCCTCTTCTGTTTCAAATATCTATCTTCATGCCATTATACTTTCAACCATGTCGTACTGTTTACCTGTTTGGTCTCTTACAA